TGTATGATGGAACCTTAGTGCTATCAAACTGCTGTAACCATGATTGCAAATTGGCCAGCTGAGCGCGACCGGGAGCCGGGATGCAGTCGCCCAGTGGCATTGGCAGCATTTTTCATGCGATAATTCCCGATTGCATCCCATAAACTACTGTATCCCAGCAGGGGTAAGTTGTTTTATTTTTGCATGTTATAAGCTCCCATGTAATGTAGATACACTCCTAGCCAAAGTAGCAGATACTGAAGTGTGATTGGAATTGCAGTTCAGCAACTTCTGTAGGACTGGACATACCTCACCCATTCTTTAGGATGGCTCTGTTGTTCTGAATAACTGAATTCACATGTCACAAATTGATAAAACAGAAGACTGCATACATCATTCATAAGCAACTGAGCGTTCACTAATCTGAGACTGTGGGCCTTTACAAACTGCCAGAAGTAATGCGGCTTGAGGCCACTTTAACTGTCCTGGCTCAGTGCTAAGGAACCATGGGAACTGTAGTTTACTGTGGCACCAGAGCTCTCTGACAGAGAAGGCTAAATGTCCCCCCCCAAAAAAACCCCACAATTCCTATGATTCCCTAGCACTGAGCCAGGGCAGTTAAAATGGCCTCAAGCTGCATTATTTCTGGCAGTCTGTATAGGCCCTGTATCTCCCGTTAAAAACCATTTTCAGTCTCCACTTCTTTCATTCCTATTGTGTGCCTTCAAGTTGTTTCCAACTTATGGTGATCCTAAGGTGACCCTATCAAGGGGTTTTCCAGGCAATATTTGTTCAGAGTAGGTTTGCACTTGCCTTTCTCTGAGGCTGAGAGAGTGTGACTTGGTTCTCACCCAGTCCTACATATATCTGTATTCAAAAGCAAGTCCCATAGAGTTGAATGGCGCTTACTCCCAGATAAGGCTCCACAGCATTGCAGCCTAAGGGCCTTTACAGACTGCCAGAAATAATGCAGTTTGAGACCACTTTAACTGCCTTGGCTCAGTGCTAGGGAATCATGGGAACTGTAGTTTATTGTGGCACCAGAGCTCCTTGACAGAGATGGCTCAATGTCTCAGAAAAAACTACAATTCCCATGATTCTCTAGCATTGGGCCAGGGCAGTTAAAGTGGTCTCAAGCTGCATTATTTCTGGCAGTATTTAAAGGCCGTAAGTCCATTTTCCTTTGACTTGGGCTCTTCATTGCATTGTTGGCTGTTCTTTAGCAGTGGGTTTGCTGGGCTGGCTCTTTTGACTGGAATCGGAGAGGCACAGGTGGAGCTGCCAGCTGTAAGCTGGAGGAGGCACTTCCTGATAATGACCAATGCCTACGCTGAAAATGTTGTAAAGAGGGAAGAGGCTGGAATGTGAGATGTTTTTTCCTTGCTGAAGAGAAGGCCCTAGAGTACATTAAATAACTGAAACTGCAACACCAACTCCTTTAAGAGGCTAGGGTACACGAGGCACATTACCTGTAAGATTTGCAACTTTCTAGGAAACAGGGAGGTACCATCTTTGTCAAATGAGCACACTGAGGCAAAGACATAGTTAAGGGGTCGGCAACCTATGGCCCGCGGGCAGGGTGCGGCCTGCGGAGGCCTTGGGACTGGCCTGTGGCTGGTCCCGCCGCTTCCACCACCGCCGCCCCGCCACGCATGAGCACAGGCACCATTTTGGACACAAAATGGCACCTGCGCTCACATGCACATGCACATGCGCACGCAAGCACGGGCGCAATTTTGGAAGGCCCCATGACGGCTGTGCAGCCGCCATGGGGCCTTCCTTGGGCCTTGGTAAGGCCCCACCGCTCATGCGCCAGCGAATTTGCCCCGCGCACGCGTGGTGGGGCCTTCCAAAATGGCACCTGCATCGTGTGCATGCATGCGCACGATGGTGGGTGTCATGTGCGTGTGCGCGCTCGCGCAAGCGCGCCTGCTCCGGCACCGCCCCCGCTCCATCCCCCCCTCCCAGCCCCCCCCGGCAACAAAGGTTGCCAACCTCTGATTTAAATATATGAGCTGTAACTTCAGCTTCTTACAGTCATCTGAGGAAGTAGTCCCAAGTCTACAAAAACTCATGCTACCAACTTTCAGTTTAGTCTCAAAGGTGCTACAAGATCCCTTTGCATACTGATTTTCCAGACTAACACTTTGAATTCAACTTCTTCCAGTATTCGTATACTAAAATTTAAATTATGCAGGTGTAGGCAACGGTGAAGAACAGCAGGGGCCATTTGTTTTCCTTGCATCTCTCAAGCAGACATCTATATGGGAGGGTTAAGAGAGTGTGGAAACAAGCCCTCTGGATTTTTGTTGCTATTGTTGTTGTGTGTCTTCAAGTCATTTCCACCTTATGGTGATCCTAAAGCAATCCTATCATGGGATTTTCTTGGCAAGATTTGTTCAGAGGGGGTTTTGCTTTTGCCTTCCTCTGAGGCTATAAGGTAACCCAAGAGGATTTCCATGGCTGAGCAGGGATTTGGACATCCAAACCACTACTCCATGCCAGTGGTATCATCAGGAAGATGCAAGGGGTTCAGACCACACCAGGTGACACCCACAGGAGAGGTGACACCCTGATGGAGTCCTCCTGCCACCATAGCGGAGGGGCAAGCACACCTCTCATGGCTTCACCAAAGTCCCAGCTCTCTCCCCAGGGAGGAAGCCGAAATGGCTGTAAGGGTGGCAGAGGGGCAAGTGCACACTTCGCAGCTTCATTGCTGGTCTGGCTCCTGGAGACAAAACCATGAGGGGCAAGCAGCAGGGCTTGGCCAGACTGCTGCCACTGCCCCCCCCCCACACTCTGGCAACCTCCCGGGTATCACCAAGCCTGGTGAGACCATTGCACCATGCTGGCTCTGGATGGTTTATAGACACGTGGGGAGTGTGAGTCAAAAAAACTAATCCTAATTTAAAACATTTGGAGCCTCAGGGATTTGGTGAGGGGCCTCCACCAGCTCCAGGTGGCTCAAGGACTGTGGCCCAAGGACTTTACTTTTCCTCACCCCAATATAATATTTATGAAAACCAGTATATTAATGAAACAATGGCTGGGATTTATTAGTAGAAATGTTCATCTGAAAAGAAAAATCTTTAAGAAGGCCTGAAAAATGGAGAAATGTGAGTTTATGTTTAACTTAAAAACCCAGTTGAAAAAGAAATCCACAGGATGGGGGGCAATACATAGCAGGCCCTGCTTTTGGTGGACTTCTTCAAGTGCACCTCAGACCCAGGTGAAATGACCTCTTGAGCCTCCTCAGAAGGCCTCTGTAGTAAGGGAAAAAGATATGGGTCTGTAGCCATGGCAAAATGATGGTACTGTCCTCCAAGTAAGAATTGTACCTACTCATATTTTCCTTCACTCTCCAAGTTTCTAGCATTGCAGAGAGAGAAATATAGAAAATCTAGAACTCTTCTATTTGCTGAGATCACTTTCTGAACCTTTTCTTTTGATGCCTAAACTGTGTTAGTGAACTCGGTGATTGGCAAACTTACTGTATGGCTAGAAATTTGAGGATTAAAGGGAAATTGCGGGAAGGCAGATCATGGTGTAATGGTTTTGGCGTTGGACAATGATTCTGCATCCCAGCTTGGCTATGGAAACCCACTGGGTGACCTTGGGCAAGTCACATTCTCTCAGCCTCAGACCATAGCAATGTCAAACCCTCTCTGAAGAAACTTGCCAAGAAAACCTCATGATAGATTCGCCTTAGGGTCGCCACAAGTCGGAAACAACTCAAAGGCACACAACAACAAGAAGAATTCTTATGTCCTTTTTAAAACTCCCCTGTAGGTTCACCCTGAGTAATCTGGCCCAAAGCTGTTTATAGTTTAGTGCAGGAAATTCCCTTCAGTGGATTTAGATGTCTTAATCTGCAGAGTCAGAATTTATGAAAAATAAGAGAAGTTGTGGTCCTAGCCCTAAAAACTTTAACTGGAAGTAAACTAGTGGGATCTACCGGTCCTTCCAAGCTAATCACTGTACATAGCAACAGTTTGTCTGAAAGAGTTTCATTTATGCAGTTGACAACGGCCACAGTATACCCATGGACCTCCTTACTAGGCATGGCAAATTTGGTCTGAGTGATTTTTCCAAGGTGGCACAGCCCTCATGTAAAGGTCCTGGCACATTTGGTTTTCTATTGGGGACTGCAGCAAACTTCAAAATGCATTGGTGGTGGTGCTGCACTAATCATTAAACACAATTTAGTGGCTTCAGGAGCACAGAATTGTTTACAGATGAAGAATGTTAAATGCTAGGTTTGCCTGTGGCACCTTTCACATTGCACAATTATAACACTTTGGTACCACTTTAATTGTTGTGGTTTTATCCTGTGGATGCTGGGGTTTCTAGTTTGCTGAGTTATTTAAAATGCTCTTCCAGAGAGCTCTAGTGCCTCACCAAACTACACACCACAGGATTCCACAGGATGCAGCCACCGCAGTTAAAGCGGTGTCAAATTGCTATACCTGTGCAGTGTGTATGAGTCCTGCAAATTGGTCTTTAAGAATCAGCACTTTGCCAACAAAGAGCCTTGAAAATTGCCTGGTGTTAAAGCATATAAGGATATCTCTGGCTTCTAGTCTTGCCATTCTGCACAGAGAGATGTTGCTTCCTTTGTACTAGTGCTTATCCAAGGTGTCTCTTCAGTTAAGAAGTACTATGTGCTCTGCAGTCATACACAACAGAGAGACAGGTAGGCAGGCAAGGGCTACAAAACTTTTATGTTGCAGTGTGCACTAATCTCCCACACACAAGGGGAGAGAAAAAGAATCATACGATTAAAGTTACAAAATAAAAATCTCCTCAGGGTACTGATAAGATCTAAGTAACTGGATGCCAAGCCAAACACCCACTTCCACGGTTCAGAGTCACACTTACTGTCAGTCAGACCAGTTTCTCTCTCCTCCTCTGTTACCACCTCTAGTATTTTTACAGATCAAGGAATATAAAAAAAAAAATATTTTTAGCACCAAGAGGGACACCAGCCAATACATGAATTAGATGAATTGTTTATTTAGAGAGCCAGTGTGATGTAGTGGTTTGAATGTTGGATTATGGTTCTAAAGAATAGGGTTCAAATCCCCACTTGGTCATGTAAATCCATTGGGTGATCTTGGCAAGTCACACTCTCTCATCCTCAGAGGATCATAATGGCAAAGCCCCTCTGAAGAAACATGACAAGAAAACCTTTAGGGTTGCCATAGGTCAGAAAAAACTTGAAGGTCTCCATAAGTTGGAAATGACTTGAAGGCACACAACAGCAAACAACATGTATTTATTTAATCTATATCCCACCTTTCTCCTTGCCTAGGACCCAATGTAGTTTATGTCTAATTTAAAACAAGGCACAGCAAAATAGAATAAATAAATAATCCCAGGGCAAAAGCTAAAAAAACAATTCAACGAACAGTTCTCATAAAAATGTTAAAAATCAAAACACATTTAAAACATAATTTAAAAAAAGATAAAAGGACAGAAGACTCTCTCTGCCATGTTCTAGCTAAATATGTCTGTGATGGTGGTGGGTCTGAGAGAAAACCTTTCCCTTAAGGTTTTAAAATTCATGCAGATTTATATAAGGAGATTACTTTACTGGGCTTTTAAGTGGGGCTGCCCTTGAAGTCAGTCCAGAAAGAGGCTGTGATCTGATGGGAACTGTCCATGCAGATTGTGTTACACTGATCCAGGGGTAGGCAACCTTTCCCCTTTAAGGGCCGAGGGACTTCAGCTCCCAGAAGCCTCAGCCATGTTGGCCATTAGTCCCATGTTGGCCAGTAGCTCCTAGGATTCTGGGAGCTGAAGTCCCTAGGCCCTTAAAGGGGAAAGGTTGCCTACACCTGCGGACTGATCCTTTATCAACTTTGCTGGTTACCAGTTTGCTTCCAGACTCTGAGTGCATCTACACTGTAGAAATAATGCAGTTTGACATCATTTTAACTGCCACGGCTCCATCCTACAGAATCCTGCAATTTGTAGTTTTGTGAGGCACCAGTACTCTTTTGTAGAAAAGGCCAAAGACCTTGTAAAACTACAAATCTCAGGATTCCATAGGGGTGAAACAGTACTTAAAGTACTGGTATCAAATTGCCTTATTTCTACAGTGTAGATGCACCCTCAGTTCAGGATGCTGGTTTTGACAGAACCAGTGCTTGCAAAAGGGTGAGAAAGTTGCTGCAGGAAGCAGATCCTGGGGGACACAGGAGAGTAGCAAGCTGTTGGAGGATGCTGCCACATGATCTGCCCTAGAACTGTCAAATGAAAAAGAGGACAGGACTCCAGCACCTATCATAGCTGAATGGAAAGATAGCAACGCTTGTTTTACCTGATGAAATTTCCTGTTCCATAGAGCTATTACAGGCACAGAAACTCTGTCCAAATTTTCATGTGATCCACTAAATTTGCTCTGCACTACCTAAACTAGGCTGTGAATGTTATCCTGTGAGCATTATTGAAGGATAGCTTCTGTAAGCTAGAATGCAAGTGGCAGGTATCACCTTTTCATTTACTTCATGACCTGGGCTGGCCCCATACAGCTTCAAAGCTGTACAGAAAAACACAGCCTGGGAACAGAATATTTTATGAACATGTCTAGCAGAAACCTCTGTTCTAGTTTGGAGACTCTCTTTTGGAATTTTACCATCCTTTGATGGACAGGTGGGTACCTGGAACAGGATGTTTTCAGCTATGGAGATTAGGATTTGAAATGGACTCCTGGGAGATATAGGCCAGGCCTTGGTCAATACCTGATTTCTAGATAGGTAGTGAAAATGGCACACATCTCCAAAATTATTTTTAGAACTGTATTGCTGTTTTTTAAAAAGATCGTAGTGCCAGTTTGCTCTTTTTGTTTTGCTTGTTGTTTGAGATAGGGCTTGATTTATTGCATGTTTTAGAATGAAAGCAATCTTGTATGCCCCAGTAGAAAGGTAGAACACAAAAGAATAACATGTTGTTGCTGTTAACTGCCCTCAAGTCAATCTTGACTCATGGTGACCCTGTGGATGAGGCATCTCCAAGACCCCCTGCCCTCTACTGCTCTGCTCAAGTCCTGCAAATTCAGTCCTGTGACCTCCCTGATTGAATCTATCCATCTGGCGTGTGGTCTTCCTCTCTTTCTGCTGCCCTCTCCCTTTCCTAGCATCATTGTCTTTCTCAATGATTCATGCCTTCTCATGTGGCCCAAGTATGACAGCCTCAATTTTGTCATTTTGGCTTCCAGGGAGATTTCTGGCTTGATCTGATCTAGGATCCATTTGTTGGTCTTTTTGGCTGTCAGCACTTTTCTCCAGCACCACAGCTCCAATGAGCTGATCTTCTCTTTATCCACTCTCTTCACTGTCTAGCTCTCATATCTGTACATGGTGATAAAGTCATAGGGCCTTTGCAGACTGCCAGAAATAGTGCAAATTGAGTCCACTTTAAGGGTTAGGGTTAGTGCTAGGGAATAATGGGAATTGTTTCTTTTCTGAGACATTGAGCCTTCTCTGTCAGAGAGCTCTGGTGCCACAATAAAATAGTTCCCATGATTCCCTAACCCTAACCCTAACCCTAACCCTAACCCTAAAAGTGGACTCAATTTGCACTATTTCTAGCAGTCTGCAAAGGTCCATACTTAAATATAAAGGTATTCAGCTTTCTACACCTGGAAATGCTGGATTCCATTCCTGATTTTGCCAATAGCACAGTATTACTATCACGGACCTATGTTTCTACTTGTTATTTCCACCATCTCATTGAAATGCTGCCTCCTTTCAAGAGAGGGTAGCTCAGGAGAGCTGTGAAAAAGGTCACGGTAGGTAAAAGAGCTGTAGAGTGTTCATGGCCATGGGTGAGAAAGTTTGCTGCATTTTTCCTCAGTTCAAATTGGTATTGTTCACCCTTCATAGTATAAACATTAAATTAGCCATTTTGCTTCTTTAATATCTTCCTTTTGTATCTTTCCCCGGAGGGCACTACAGGTCCATTTCACCTCCTCTGAAAATGGTCAGTGCACAAACCTGTTAACTGAAAACAATATGTGAAGCAAGAAACCTCTTGAGGTCACTACAGTTGTATTTTGAATACTAAGTTTGCAGTCTTAAAGGGCTTCTCCAATTAAAAGTTCATTACAACTAATTTTTTAAGTTGCTCAGTATCCCTCTTGGTGTCAATAGATGCATTATTGGTAGTGGTGCAAGTCACTGGGCCAACAAGAGAAAAGAGTTACCTGTTAAAATTTCTTCTTTAAAGTTGGATAAACAATGCCCTGCATGTAACAATGTAACAAGAGTGGAAGTCCAGGTTGCTGTGTCTAAAAGTCAAGTGTGATCATATAAATAAGTCTTCAGTCACTGGGATGTAGATAGGGAAATCAAAACAAAGGTTCAGGATCTCTCTACCAAACAATTTCATATTCATTAGAAACTGTCCCCTTCAAATTCTGCAACACAAACAGCATATGTCCAAATGCATGCTTTTGAACTTTCAAAAAATTTAGCCTTAAGGGAACTGCAACTCGTAGAACACTCCAACTAGATTACTGGAATGGCATTTAATTTGGGGCATCCTTTGGCTATGCTGGCTGGGAGATTCTGGGAGCTGTAGGGTTGTTTTTTTTAAAGGCTCTAGTAATTTCATATGACTATTAATCATGAGGGGAAGCAACTGCAGCATTGAGCAACTGCCTTCATGACTTGCCTGTGGGTTTTCCAGCATCATCTGACTGACCACTGTGGGAAGAAAGCTGTTGGGTGGAGGTGGATCTCCTTTCTGATCCAGCATGATCTTTTTTCTGTTGACTTACGGAATTAACATGAGAAATCCCAAGAACAGTAAAAGGGCATTTAGAAATGTGTCCTTGCCTGCCTGCCTTCTTTGCCGTGATCAGGATTATATTATATATGATTTTATTGTAAATACTTAGAGATTTTATTATATGAAGTGGTATATAAATCATCATCATCCAACAGCAGCAGGATCTTCTCTATATTTTAGAGACTATGTGCTCTCCAGACGTTTTTTGCCTCCATCTCCTATCCATTTGAATAGCACAGCCCATGGCAAGGAATGATGGGATTTATAGTCCACCAAGATCTGGGGGGAACTGAATAATTCAAAAGCTTAACAGGCATAATCTTTCTTAAAAAAAAAAAAAGAAATCAGGGTGTCAGCTCTTCTTAGCCCATGTGTCCCCTGATGTTTCCCCTACGATGCCAGGTGCTGATATTGGATTTGCAAGCTGCACCCAACTATCCCTGTGCTTGTGGTTGTTGTGTGCCTTCAAGTTGTTTCCAACTTACGGCAACCCTAAGGTGAACCTATCATAGTGTTTTCTTGACAAGATTGGTTCAGAGGAGGTTTGGTATTGCCTTCCCCTGAGGCTGAGAGCATGTGACTTGCCCAAGGTCACCCAGTGGGTTTCATAGCCAAGTGAGGGAATTGAAACTTGGTCTCTATAGAGTCATAGTTCAACACTCAAACTATTATATCATACTGGTTCTACACCCCAGGCTTGATTTAGCAGTCTTCGAAAAGGACTCTAAGAAGAATGGCAGCCTTCTTCTCTAGATTCTTTATAACAGATTCCCATCAGTATCAACTTCAAAATATCCTGGCACTATTATTAAAAATGCTGCACTGAGAACCTAATGTGCATATGTGAAGAATCATCAGCCTTCTGTATTCAAAAGCAAACAGGAGTGTTTTCTTCACAGGCCTCAGTAGCATCTTTGGCAAATATGGTTAAGCATACATTTTAAAACTGATCGCTCTGTTTGTGTTGTGACCTTATCTAGCAACGGTAGGCTTGCAGAATTAAACAGGCTGTACTGAGGGAGTGAGATGCTTCTTGAGTGCCATCTTCTTCTTCTTACTCCTCCTCCTCTGGTGCCTCTCAAAGACCCAAAGGAGCAAGTCATGGGGAAACAGGCTTCAAGACTCTCCATGCCGAGTTGTACCAGCTGTTGCCTTGGCAGCCTTGCAACTGGTTTTGAATCCTTCCTTGCCTTCCTGAGCGCTACTTGTTGACAATTTCCCTTTAATTTTGCAGTGAAGCACTTGAATCCTATCTGTCCTTCCCCTTTTGATGATGGTTGTCTCAGATTAACAGTGACTT